CAGTTTTACTGTAGTTGGCTGTTGTTTACTGTTGTTATACTGTAGTTGGCTGTTGTTTACTGTAGTTTTACTGTAGTTGGCTGTTGTTTACTGTTGTTATACTGTAGTTGGCTGTTGTTTACTGTAGTTTTACTGTAGTATTATTGTAGGTAATGGTTGTTTACTGTAACGTAATACAGTTTTACTGTAGTAAAACATTTGAATTAATTTCTCTACGTATCATGAACATTGTGGCTGTTTTCTGAGGAATGATTAAAGCTGGACAGCTCTCTGTCACATGAGTCAGTGTGGTGTTGGGAGCTGGGCTCTGGGTTTTCCTGAGGATTTCTGTGATTTTCATTTGATGTTTGAGATGTTTGTTGTTTTTGACTGTAAGACTTGTGTTTGTTTTTCCTGCAGCAGTCTGGTCTTCATATCCTGAACCCTGCAGGCCATGTGACCTCCAGCCAGGTCCAGTGGGTGAGTCCTCACCTTCCTGTATGAATTTGGTTGGACACCATCACCTGAATGAAAACGAACAAATGATGAAACCAGAAGTTTGCATACAGCGAATAAAAAGTCACATGTTTTTTTTTCACACTGTGACCTGAAATCAGAACGAACATTTTCTGTTTTAGGAAAATAAAATCTGATCCAGTCCAGCTTTTCTTTCAACAACTGGTTTAAACGACCCACAGACCACAAGATCTGATACGACTCCTTCCTGACCCAGTGGGACCAGGTTATGTAGCATCCATAAACCTGGTCCTGCTGGCTCATGTGGGGGTATGTGGTCCATAATAAATCCAGTTTGGGGGGGGGGGGTCCTGCTGGGTCATGTGTTTCTCCAGCAGACACTGAAGAGGTTCCTGGCCTTGGCGCATCACTTCAGACTGCCGCTCTTTCTCACGGACGTGGCGGCGCTGTCGCTGCTCTCCCAGGATGCCGTGCGGCAGCGGGACAGACTCGTGCATGAACAACACTGCAGCTTCCTGTGCACTGGGCGGCCAATCATCTCCTTTGCTCTGCAGGCCAACCTGTGGAAGTATGATGTGAGTGATGCCTTCAGGGCCACAGATACAGCAGGAGAAACGAGTTTCCTGTTAAATGCTTCTATCCTGTCCCTCAGCCTGGCTTCCTATTGGCTGCCCAGCAGAAAGGTTTTGATTTGCTCGAGCTGCGAGGAGAAGACCCACGATTGGCCAGTCTGGACACCCTATCAGGGCAGGAGCTCCCTCTGCACTTCCTGTTTCGTCTCCATAGTTACATCATCCATGTGAGTAGAGTCATGTGTATGATAGACCCCATAGTGGCCCCTACCAACCACACAGACCAGGGGTCCACATCCTGCAGCTCTGAGACCACCTACAGGTCTTTGGTCCTGCAGCAGCTCTTTGACCAAGACTGACATGAAAATGAAAATATTTATATTTACTATAAAAGTACATAAAAGTACATAAAAGTACATAAAAATATCAGCTTGTTGGTGAAAAGTCTGGAGGACGTTTCTGCCTTTATTTCCTGTTTAATAACTGTGGTGTAGTGGACCCAGTACTGCTCTAGTACTGCTGTACCTCTGTAGTACCTCTGTAGTACCTGTACCTTTTTCTTCAGGTAGTACTCCTGTACGAGCGCAGTGGAAAGTATTTGTGGCATGGACCTCTGCGGCTCAAAGCCTCCATGGACCGAAGCTTTGCTCCCTTCAAACTTCTGGAGTACGGACGCCATGCTGGAGCGTACCACAGGTGGGAGGAGCTACCGTGTGACTGACAGGTCGTCTGACTGAAGGTCGTCTGACTGAAGGTCGTCTGACTGAAGGTCATGTGACTGAAGGTCATGTGACTGAAGGTCGTCTGATTGAAGGTCATGTGACTGAAGGTCATGTGACTGTAGGTCATGTGACTGAAGGTCATGTGATTGTAGGTCATGTGACCGAAGGTCACGTGACTGAAGGTCATGGACTTAAGGTCACGTGACTGAAGGTCATGAACTGTAGGTCATGTGACTGAAGGTCATGTGACTGAAGGTCATGTGACTGAAGGTCATGTGACTGAAGGTCACGTGACTGAAGGTCATGAACTGTAGGTCATGTGACTGAAGGTCATTTGACTGAAGGTCATGAACTGTAGGTCATGTGACTGAAGGTCATGTGACTGAAGGTCATGTGACTGAAGGTCATGAACTGTAGGTCATGTGACTGAAGGTCGTCTGATTGAAGGTCATGTGACTGAAGGTCATGTGACTGAAGGTCATGTGACTGAAGGTCATGTGACTGAAGGTCGTCTGACTGAAGGTCATGTGACTGAAGGTCATGTGACTGAAGGTCATGTGACTGAAGGTCGTCTGACTGAAGGTCGTCTGACTGAAGGTCATGTGACTGAAGGTCGTCTGACTGAAGGTCATGTGACTGAAGGTCATGTGACTGAAGGTCGTCTGACTGAAGGTCATGTGACTGAAGGTTGTCTGACTGAAGGTCGTCTGATTCAAGGTCATGTGACTGAAGGTCGTCTGACTGAAGGTCATGTGACTGAAGGTTGCCTGACTGAAGGTCGTCTGACTGAAGGTCATGTGACTGAAGGTCATGTGACTGAAGGTCGTCTGATTGAAGGTCATGTGACTGAAGGTTGCCTGACTGAAGGTCGTCTGACTGAAGGTCGTCTGACTGAAGGTCATGTGACTGAAGGTCATGTGACTGAAGGTCGTCTGATTGAAGGT